AATGAACAGTTTCCTACTGGAGTAAAAATGAAATGATTGTTCACATCAATTACAAAAGGTTCTTCCTCATTGTTCAGATCTGAATACTAACTGATTCTAAACAAAGGCATAAAAAGAAGTAACCATCATATGAATGGAAAGATGATAGGCAGTAGTATTCACAATGTATGGCCTTATCCAGTCACCATAAATAGGCATAACTTCGAGTATTCAGACAACAAACTTGAGCCAATTTCCTAGAGGCTTATCCAACTTGAGGATGCCTTTTTATATTCAAGTGATATACAGCAAATGTGAATCCTCTTGAGTGCTACAAATAATTTAAACACATTGATTTCACAATTCCTTTCTCTTTCACAAAACCAACTCAATGCTATGCAATAATGGATCCTTAGAAAATAAAGTCGTGTATGACATGTATACTTGTCAAGAAAAAAGAAAAAAGAAAGTATGATGCATAACCTGAAGTAATCCTTCTCTATCTTTCCTATTCCCCGTTTCTTTATTTTTATTTTTTAATTTCAAGTTTGTGTTACACGTGCTCTTCTAAATTTGTTAATTAACCATATCAGACACTCGACACTTGAGTAAGGATATGAAATATTTGTCCAATATGTCTAGTTGGACATGCACATTGAATATTTGCAAATTTTCACTTATCAAGAAAAAAAACTTCAAGTTTGTAACTAAAATTGTAAGAATAATTAATTGAAAACTACACCATTTAAGTTTATTTGAGTTAATACAGGTGGCTTGTATACTTAAAAATAGGAAGAGCAAACTGCTTGTAGTGCAAAAGTGCTTCAGAAAATTGCGGCCTCAAGGAAATTACAAGTAGCATTCATGAGAAGTTCCTCACCGCTAAATTTGGCACACTAATTGCATAATTAGAGATGAAGTTTGAGATATTTTTTGCCCCAATATCTGCATTTGACAAGATAACCAAATTACATATGCAAGAAATATCAAGCTGCAGAGAAAAATTAAAATGAGATTGTCATTCTAAATATAAAATATTCAGCACTCACAGCCAAAAGTAAAAAACTAGACTCAAAATGACTGCAGAAAATCTGCATGCAGTGAATTCTAAAACAATAAAAGTGATTGGTATGCAACAAAACTCAAGCTTCAGGGTGAATAGGCATTAAACATTTCGACATATGATAATCTTTAAGTGTGTTACCTGAAAACTTCTAAATATCTACAGTTTTACAAGTTAGAAACACAGGCCAAAAGAATGGATTTGTAAACCATTTAGGATCTCTTTAGGTTCTGAAATTTGAACACAGCATAGAACAAGTCCACTTTCATTTCAAATTTTCTTTTATAAGTTTCATAACATAACCAGAGATTTATTTACAGGCCATTTCGTTAGGTACAAACAGCCAACAAAGAAAAAACAAAGCAAGTCCAACTCTATCTGAAGCCAAAGGACTCTAACTGCTGCTAAATGGCACAATGTAAATATATTGGTTATCAAATTACCGTAATATGATGTTAAATTCTAGAGGATTAAAAATAAAAAGGATTTCGAAAAATGGAATGAATTCAAATTACTCTAGGTTCTAAATGTCAGCAAAGTCCATATCAAATACAATAGAATGACATGTACATATATTTACTAATAAGATGGATAAGAGTGCTACCAGGTTCAGATAATGAACATGTGACTATACCTTCAGTTTAGCAAGAAATTCCTTTGAAACTTGTATATCCATCTTCTTGATTGCGACTTTCTGCACCCAAGGGAGAAATTAGGAAAGATAATATAGATACTTAGCATCAGAAACCACCACAGCACTATTAAAGAGCAATAACTTATGCTTCCCAATCTATGTGCAAATAATATTCACACAAACTACTTGCATTAATGATCAAAGTGCATGATGCATATGTAAAAGTGAACAGATATTACAATAGGCAATCATGGTATTCATAACTTTCAACCATAAGAGAAGTTAAAGAATATGAAACATGTACACCCTCTTTTGTGGATGGTGCTTTGCTAACAACTGAAGAGGATTTTGGTTTGGGAGGGGCTACAACATTTTCCACATTAAGAGTGAGCTCTTTGACAAATGTGAAACTTGGAAGTAGCAAGAGTTCATCAGAATTACAATAATACAACTACAACTTGCACATCTTGGCTTCAAATTCCCTAACCAACAAAATTTTCAATCCACAAAACACTCAAAGATCCAGCATCAAACACTTCTTGCGAAAAAGATACTCAAGGTAAATGTCCACTTAATCCTATACAAAAACTGTTTAAAATACCTTAATCTTCAAACTTGTCCAAATTTTCATCCCAATCAGCTACCTTTTCTTGGATTCCAGGTTGCCAACCCTAACAAAATCAACAAAAAGGAAGAAAAAGAAATTACAAAATCAAAACAAAATAATGAAAATAAAGTAGAGCAGGGAAAACTGATTTTCAGCTATTTCCTTGCTAAGAAAATTGTCTGTAGTTTATATGCCAATATAGAGGCAACAACTTCACTTTTACTATTTTCCATACTATTTAAATTTTTCGAAGAAGGAATAAGGGTATACCACAAAACAAAGAAGAAAGTGGCCACTTAATTAACACACAAGATTGATTGCGACCAATATGGCATAAAATTTCAAAATAATAGAAGTAAAAGCATCACCCTTCATCAATTATATGCTTGTAGAGGCAGGGTAATGCATACAAGAATTGTAAGAAAGGCAAATAAATAAATAGATCAGTCTTTCTATATTCATTTACCACTTATATTTGTTATTTAGAACAATCTTAAATCATCTAGACAATGAAATCATCAGCAAAAAAAAAAAAAAACTAAAACCTATTAAAGGATGTGCCAAAAAAAAGTAGGATGTGTGATGGAAAATTGATCATAGAAACCCAGTTTAACTAAAAGAGCTACCTTCAAATCACAAGCTCTGAGATAAGTTAACTTACCAACATGAAAGCTAAAATATAAAAATTTAATCAACCTAGTAAAAGGAATTGCACTTTTCAATAATATATCCCACCGTGTGCTTGAAAAAAACATTGTGCTAAGAAAGGGATTCAAAACTAAAAACCAAGAACACAAGCAAAGGATATGAAAGTCAAAGCACAAGAATAAAAGAATTACATATTATATTTAGATAAACTATGCCAATGTCCAGGAGTGATTGTTAGTAAATTCATCACTAAAGCCTAGAAAAAAACTGATATTCAATAATATATCCAACCATGTGCTTGAAAAATACATTGTGCTAAGAAAGGGATTCAAAACCAAAAAACAAAAACACAAGCAAAGGATATGAAAGTCAAACCACAAATTACATATTATATTTAGATAACATATGCCAATGTCTAGGAGTGATTTCAATTAGTGAATTCATCACCAAAGCCTAGAAAAAAACTGATATTCTATTTAGTTCTCAACAATCACATGGAATAGAATGAAATACTCATTTCTTAAATTTCCCTATGGAATGATCATTTGCAATGCATTTTTTGTTATTCTTTTAGTCACCCAAACATAAAATAATGCATATTTTGATGTATTAAACATTTCATTCCAATGAACCAAACACTAATTTAAATGGACTATGTATGTATGTAAAAAGATCATTCAATCCAAACTGAGAACTATACATGGTAAAATATTTATATAATTTTTAATTACAAAGATAGAAAAGGTAAAAATCATACACTCCAAAATGCAACAATAATTGTGATTTACACCAAGAAACAATCAATAGCAGCTGAGACATGGCAGAGCATTCTCTCTACAATCAAACTGTATCGTCCCAAGTTCTTAAACCCCTTTTAACCGTTAGTTTGATTGCCCGGTGGACTTTTGGGCTTGTGGCCAATGTTATTGTCCTTTTAGCATACATTCTAAAATTTATTTTTTAATTTTTATTTTATTTTTAAATAACCCAAAAAAAAAAGTCCTTAAAAAAAAATCCAACATTTTTTTTGTAAGGGCTATTATATACAATATTTTTGTTTCACCAAACTTTTCATCTCCTTGGTGATTTCTCATATATAACATGACAAGTTTCAAATATAGCCATTTACTATATATATAGATATATATATTTAAAACAAAAACTCACAAGAAAACAATATAAAAGTATAGTAAGAGCCAATCACCCTTAGTAGCATTTTATCAAGCACCTAGGAGGCATAAATAACATGTATATAGTTTTCTTCTCTGCTGGACAGTAGAAACAAAATAAAGATATATAAAGATACCTAAGCAAACATAGATACACAAACATAATCAGCCAAAGACAACAACGAGAAACAAAGACAAGAAATCATCATACAAAACACAAATCATCTTGTTATGGAGTCACAATTTTGGGTATATGTTAATATTTAGATACATACAAACATGTGCAAACATCACAGAGAGACAAGGAAGAGAATCACTTGATACAAATTTTCTTTCCAGCAACAACCTAGCACAAATCATGAACAAAACAAATGGTCAAAGTAAAATAGGAGCCATTAGAAATAAAAATAAAATTACCTGAAAAATTGGCAATGGCAACAAAATCTTAATTTTTGGATCAAAACCCCCAAATAAAAACCCTAAATTTTCAATTTAAAACTTAACTTCTCAAAACCATTTTTTCCCCAAATCACTAGACATATACATGAAATAGAACAAATGGTGATAGAAAAATATGAACTGAGTTTCACAAGAAACAGAAAAATCTGCGTCCGTTCAATCAACACCTCTTGACAGTGGTGGTTTTGAAACCCTAGCTTCGTAGAGAGAGAGAGAGAGAGAGAGAGAGAGAGAGAGAGTATATATGTATATGTTTCTTTGGTATTTTTGTGTTATGAAAAACTACTCCTGAAGTAGTGCTTCTCAAATTGGACACATCTTGATTATCTGATGGTGATGTTAGGAAGAATGGAATAAGAATATAAGTAGATTCCTATTAGTTTCATGTTCAATAAGCTTATGTAAAAATGGTGAGATATAACTATTAGGTGTTGGATTGGCCTGAATTTTCTTTTCGAATTGTAGTTTTTCCCTGTGAATGTATGAAATAATTCCATCTAGGTATAATGCAAATGAACTTCAACTATAGACAGTTAAATTATAAAAATACAAAATATATATATATATATATATATAGAAAAAGAAGATGTAAATCAATGGCGACATTGAGTTGGAAATGAAGAACAGATTTGACCTTGTTGATCTCAATCTTTCATTGGGCAGATACTGATATTATTGCAGCAGTGTATCTCAGTTCTAAAAAATAACACATTTTTAAGATTTCAAAATTTTCTTTGACCAACATCATTTTCTACAGCCTGTCCCTCACGACCATTTCTAGGGTGATCCCAATGATCGTAATGATCGAAAGAAAACTTCTGCATCTAAAAAAAGTTACATGCATCAGATTTATTATTCATTTTTGGATACTTTTGTGATAAATATATTGAACTTTTCTATATAATGATTCCAGCATTCCTTTGTCCCAAAGAGGTGCCACAATAATCAACTAGTCTAGGCCCTTGAGTTGAAGGGCCATCTTCTCTCTCTCTCTCTCTCTCTCTCTCTCTCGCTCGCGCGCGCGCGCGCGCATACACACACACACACACACACATTACTTTGGTTTTCTATAAATAATTGGTTTTCTCCCAACACTAAAGGAACTTCTCCAGATCTTCTTTTTGGTTTCTAGGGTTTATATCTGGGGATACTTTTTTTTTTTTCTTTGATGTTTTTATTGAGTATTCAACTCATGGTTTAAAGAGAGTACATCAAAGGTTGTGTTTTGTTCTACAAAAGAGAGTGTTGTTCTTCAGTTGTGGATTCTGAAGAGTTCGAGCCTGAAGCTTTGGTGGAATCCGGAGTGGCTCATCAGAAAGACAATTCCGTGGTGAAGATGGGGTTGGAAGAGGCACATAGAGGTTGGTTCAATTAGGCGTTGTGGATTCGCTAGGTAATTGAGAGTATACCTGTGTAATTCCTTTAATTCTTCTTAGTGGATTGTTCTTGTGGCTGTTGCCCGTGGTTTTTTGATCACAGTTGGAGGTGTCCAATTGTGGTTTTTTCCACGTTAAATCGTTGTGTCTCTTTGTCTTGATTGTTTGATTATTTGATTGGGATTGTTATATTCTGCTTAAAATTGATACATAATCACAAATCAACATCTAGGGGATTTCTAGATTTTTCACTCTCTAAAAATAATACATTTGGAGATGAAATTATTTCCTCTTTAAAAAATTTTTACAACGATGACGAAAAATTTCGTCTCCAAAATGGCGCCAAATCTTCAGCCAAATTTTCCAGGGTGAGAAACTGTTTTGTGACGAAAAATAAAATTTAGAGACGAATAAATTTTTGTCACCAATTGTTTTATATGATTTTAAGCATTTGGTGACAAAATTTGGTTTTTGTCTCTAAAAATAGTACAATTGGAGGCGAAATCTTATTTTCATCACTAAAACATGTATATTTGGAGACAAAATATTTTTTCGTCATGCGTTTTCGTCACCATAGACCTTTTTTGTTGTAGTGGTATTGTGAGGGGGAAATAAGTTAATAACAGAGACATCGTACCATACAATACATATCTTTCTAAACGTTTCAACTGCCACATAAATGTGGAAGTTTGTGTCGGAATGAGATGTGTCAAGTATATACACAAGTACATTTACAAAGGTTATGATTGTACAACGATGGTGTTGGGATTGATAAATGAGATCCAACAATATCTCGATGTGAGGTATATTGGACCTCCAGAAGCTGCTTGGTGAATATTTGGTCATCCATTGCATGCAGAGATACCAACAGTTGTACGCTTAGCACTTCACTTACTTGGAATGCACCGCATTCTTTTTAATCCTGATAAATCATTAGAAGCAATTGTTTCTAGAGCTGGGCAAAAAATAACTGATTTTTTTGCATGTTGTGCTTCTATGGAAGATGAATGTCCATTCACTTACCAAGAATTTCCACAACATTTTGTTTGGCTTAATTCAGAAAAGATGTGGAAACCAAGACAACAAGGATATGCGATCAGTAGAATGTACTTTGCTAGCCCTAATTGTGGTGAGAGATTTTATTTACGTTTGCTATTAACTGTTGTCAAAGGACCAAAATCGTTTCAATGCTTACGCAAGGTCAACAATGTTTTGCATGATACGTTTAAATTAGCATATCTTACAACAGGACTTTTAGAAGATGATGAAGAATGGATACAATGCCTTAAAGAGGCTGCAGTTATGAAAACTGGTTATCAATTGAGGAGATTGTTTACTATTATTCTTACTCAATGCTCTCCATTGCAACCATATGCATTATGGAATCAATTTTCAATACATATATGTGATAAT